GCCCTCCATTATCGTCATAAGAATTTACAATGCTATTTTTGTTATAAAATAACGTGTATATAATTATAATGATCTTTTTATTTCATTTAACAAAAGCTGAGTGTCTGAATTAATAGAACATGATTTTTTTATTCCAGTGCATTGTCAATTGATATAATAATCAATAATAACTTAATCGAATGTTTTTATCTCTACGTATTTCTGATATAAATTCTAATCGTGAATAATTGTCATCTTCAATGGTGTGCCCTAATTATTCTATCATTTTATAAATATATTAATATAATTTGATTACAAAATAAACTGCTATTACAATTAAATATAAATAAATACGCCGTATTCTTTTTGTCTAACAGTAATAGCTTTCACCTAACGTCAGAGTCCAAAAGTAAGAAACACTTTTCCTTGAATAAATCGAATCATGAATAACGTCATTTCATCGCACACTACTCGTTGTTCTCAGTACGAAACTTCAAGTATTGCCTCAAATTTGTTAGTGAATCTTGGAATCTTTAGACTTTGATTTTCAAGAGTCGATCAATCAGTCAGCCAGCCAGTCTTTCTGGCACACGAGTACTCGCGTGATTAGAGCGACGTGGCTGATGATCAATGGTCGCTTGACTTGTCTATCTTAGCTCGAAGAAACAAAGATCGGTTGAAAAATATCCGAAACTTCTTTTTTTTTTCGTGCACTAAAGATTAACTGTGTGAGCGTGAAGTGCAAGCGACTTTTTAAAATCTTAATATCTCGAGGACGTGCCATATCCAGCATTGTGCTTTTACATAACTAATGTTATTTAGTGCATTTCGCGTACTCCTTCTTTTATGTTTTTCTGTTATTTATTACGTTATTTGAATCCTTTACGTGACAATTTTGGGACATTCATCGATATTCATTGCTAAATAAACCTAGAATTTACACCTATTTCTTCAGAAATACTAATGAATATTTACTCATTTCAGAATGTATCGGAAAAATTATTCAAAAAATTAATTGAACCTATGATTCACAAAATGTATTGACCTATCATACTATTGTACAATAATAACCCTTACATACTCAATAGTAGTAGTTACGCCCCCAGTTTTCTATTTCTATGTGAAAAATGTATTTTCCTCCATTTTATTCTATTCATTTTTCTCTTTTTCAACCAACTTTTAAGACAATATTAATTTCCGTATATCAGTTGGTTATAAAATAATTGATTTGTACCAATAATTTCAAAGCATATAACCTCTTATGCTCTTAAAAAGATTTATCAACGGCATATTTCCATTCTCGTTGATTATTATCCATATTAATCGTTCATAAATTAAATTTACTGTTGAAATATAAATCTCAGACTTCTAGATACGTAATACAAATATTTTAAAGTATAAGAAAGACCAAAGTTTGGCGTTCTTTTTTGGCATCAACTAATCACAACGCTGGATGTAGACGATTCAAGTCGAAGTCAATAATTATTGCAGTAAAATTGACATTACCTTATCGCTCCGTCTATTTCTCGCCAAGACGTGATGTTATTGATCATTTAAACTCACGAGATTGTCGAACAAACGATAGTTGTTATTGAATCTTCTACGCAATCTGTCGGCTGTTATGAAGTCTCAAAAGCGTTTATAAAATTTTTGCTCTTCGAGACATGTACGTCAATTTACAACGGCGAATGGAGAAGGTCATCAGTACGTCTGGAGTACATAACCGAGCAGAATTCAGAACGCTCTTTTTTTTCATTTCCCTCTTTAATTTTATATATACCAATTTATCAGACGAAAATCTCATGAGAATATTTTCATACGTTGCGCCATACTTAATTGACTTGCACAAGTCAAGCGCAGCGCGCCGCAGCGGATATACATATGTCGCACGCGATACACATCGAAAAGCTCGTTCGCGCAGAGTGTGTGTATATGATATCTATTATGCCGCGCGGCATCACTGTCACGGCGAGGAGGTTACGTCTCGAATTGCGCCTTATACGCCTTTTGTGTTCGTCCGAGTGCGCTGCCTTTGTTATACGGACGCGCGTATATCGATACCTTCTAATCTTCTGATCAAATGATCAGCTGCGAAAGCTTTGGAAAGGTAACGCTAGTCATCGCGTTGGAACATGAACCTCGATTTAAATTCAACGAGTAGGTTACGCTTTTTCTTCGCTTATAGTGCCGTGCACTGAACACGGTAGCGATTGCGTAATCGAGAAATTTTAATAAGCGGCTGTTACAGCAACGGGAAGAAAAGAGTTTGGTAGTCGTGAGCTCATTGCTACGATAATGAGCGTTCAGTTTTTAGATTTTATCGTCCCACGACAAATTATACCGTGCGCGCTACTAATGGACCTTCCTATACTACAGTCCGAGTCGAACAAATAAAACTTGCTCGTTGACAGAGCATACATACATATATAAATATCATAAGCTCGTTTTATCTTGGCGTTAAAAATAAATACACCACCAGACTGCAACTGCCTCGCGCGTCGTCTTCTTCATTTCGCCAGGCCGCAACACGCGTGCCCGTGCACCACGTACATGTATATCCACAGGGGCTCGACGATAGAGCTAAGTACAAGGTGGAAGCTCGACTGCGGACAGCAAGTGAGTCCAAGTCAAAGATGAAGGCACGGATAACCGCGACGGAAATTGAATTCTCTCGGCCGGTGCCAATTTTCTCGCGTCTACACGCGCACGCACACTCGGCGCGACGTATTTTAGAGGAAACTAAGTTTCCTCGCAACAAGAAATAATAATAGGAAACAAACAAATGAATGAAGAAATAGGAGCAAGCGAACGCGGAATGGAGATATCAAACGCGCACAGCAAATAAACGAGAAAAAATGTGTCTCGGACTGAGTAGAGAGAGAGAGAGAGAGAGAGAGAGAGACCGCGTGCAATGCTAAGATAAGTAACGCATTCGGATGCGTAAATACATGCTGTAATGTAGCGGCAAAGGCTCGCTCTCGTGGCCGAGCTCGCGAGCCATACATCATGCCGTAAATATAACTACTCGCGGCTAACGAGGGAAAGAGGAGCGAGCTCTTAAAAAGTTTCCCCGCGTCCGCGCCGCGGCTGCTTTTCGCTCGCGACTTTGCGAATGAGATTGCGCGCTCTTATTCCCTCCGCGCGCGCGCGCCATGAAATTTTAATTACTCATGAGCGCGCGCCGGGAGTCATCATTTTTTTTTCGCGGAAGTCCGCATCTCTCTCTCTCTCTCTCTATCTCGTCGCGAACGACGTACGCGCGATGCTTTTGGAAATCTTTCAGAAGATCGCCGACGACGAGGGGGACAGGTGATCAGACATCCGTGCTGTGGTTTTATGCACGCCTGACGATATAGGAACGCATTGATAGACGACGTGACTTGATCAAATGAGAATTCGAAATGTCTTTCTTTCTCTCTTTCTCTCTCTGTCTCGCTTGTACACGCATGATCTATTATTACAAACGTGCACACAGCCATAACGTAACGCTCGGCAACGAGTTTGTTCGTGGCCCCCCTACCCCGATGCCCCTCTCTCGCACTTACACGAAGGCGGCGATTTAAGGGCTGGCTGTCCGAAGAAATAAAATAAAAAGAATTAAAGCACAAAGAGCAGCAGCAGTAAGCAAGCCGGGGTTAGCAGTATACCGGATTCGATTGGCAAGCTGCGCGCGCGAGAAGCAACAGCAGCGGCAGTCGATAAAGGATGGCTCGGCTGGCTTGCACGTAATACACGTTCGGCTTGATTCGGGCGCAATCGTGCGTTTCCGCGACGGGAGGCAAGCGCGCGAGCTTCTCTCGCTGTCTCTCTCTCTCTCTCTCTTTCTCTCTCTCGTATTCCTTCGGCGTGCCGCTGTGCTGCTGCTAGCGTGGCGGCGGCGGCGGCGTACGTACGCTTAGCGGATCGGCTCTCGGGGCTAGCCAAGCCAGGCTTCTTTTACGTGCATATGTGCCGCACGCTGAATTCCTCGCGAGTGGCTTACCGTCGAGCGCTCGGGATTTGCTCGCGAGCCGCACAGTGCGCGTGACAGCCGAGTTGCGACCGAGTGCGCGGCGACGACGCGAGAGCGAGGCGAGGCATCGTGTGCGCGACTGTGGGCGGAGCGTCGGAGCACGAACGACGAGCGACGACGCTGGCGACACACGTGACACTGGCGCGCGGACAAACTGTCACGCCGCCCTTCTTGCCAGCAGCCTCTGTGTGTGCCCGAGCAGCGCCAGCAGCCAAGCGCCGTTCTCCCCTTCTCTCTCTCTCTCTCTCTCTCTCTCTCTCTCTCTCTCTCCCGACAACACAGAGGGGATCTCCCTTTTTACCCCCACCCTTGCTCCACGCGTTGTCGCGAGACCTACTACCTAGCCGACATATACCTGTGTATAATCTATGCGTGTGTGCGAGTGATATTATGTGCAAAAGACTCGAGGGAGGTTCGTCATCGTCTGCCGTGAACTCCTTTTTCGCAAGATGCTGATCGTGACGACTATTGCTTTTTTATAATTCTCAAGACTGATATATGGGATTTTCAGGATCGCGAGCTAGGAACTCCATAACCTCACTTATACCGACGACCTCGCATCAAAGAACTGGCGAGAATCTGGAAGATGCAGCTGCGGATTTCGGAGCTCGGATAACACTGAATACTCATCGGCAGCAACGAACAAGTGCGGCTGAACAATGCATAATGCCGGCTTGGGACCAGTGTCCGCCACTTCGTATAAGCCGGTGCCAGAGCCCCATTGTCAGCGCGATTTCGACCTGCAAGTGAAAATCAAGCAGGAATCCGCGGAAGATGCCCCGGCGCCGCGTTTTCCGCCGCGGCTGGAAGTTCGCGAGGAGTTCCGCAAGCTCCAACCGCCGCCAACTTTCGACGACGTTAACAACTATAATAACTATCAGACGCCACCTGCGTATTCCCCTTTGGCCTTGTTTCCGAGCTTGCCACCCGATGGCTATCCCACACCATCTGGTTTTCCTTACCCGGCACCCGCAGCCTTCCGGACGCAGAGACCTTACGAACATAGAAACAACAGTTATCATCCTAGAACGCCAGCTTACTCGTCCTCTTCGTCCTCCTCGGGCAAGCAGCAGCAACAGCAGCGCAAGTGGAGCGACAGCGCGCTGAGGGCTCTTCAACCGCCTGCCCCGGTGAGCCTTTTCAGCCTTTTGTGTGCTATTGGGTGTTATTCTTTCTCTATTTTTCCTTTTTCGTTTTATATTCATTCATATAACTTAGGTCTGTTAGCGGTGCATACTCCTTCTTTTCGAGCCTGTCGTCACGACAGAGATTCGACAATTCTGACAGTTCGACGAGTTAATTTGAAAGTTCACGGACAAATGAGGCGAGCGTAAACAGAAAACTTACGGAATATCATTTTGTAGCTCGCAATATTCAAAAAAGTAGCTTGTATGTCAGAGGATTTTTTCATTGTTTTCACGTATCTTCCACCAGTTTTTCCGTTTACCACTACATACGGTAGAGTACTCTTAAGTGCAAACGCAAATGCAATTACGTTTAAAAGCTATAGGTCAAATTAATCAAGAGTCATCCGATTAGAGCACGGGAAATGCAACACACAACTAAACGATGTCATTACAAAATCATTTGTTGCAATTTTCAAAAATTTTCATAATTAATTATGTTAATGGTAATAGGGCTATATGCGTAACGCACTATTCAAATGAATATTTACATGCATCTCCATACGTAGCCTAAGAAATACTGTAGCAGAAATTGAAAATACACATACTACTGAACAATAAGAAAAACATCATTATATATCATAAATATTAAGCCTCGGTCACGCTATAGTTTCCCATATCAAAACAAATAGTTACCAAGCCTATAATTTCAGGCAATAAATCTGCCGATGAATATAAATTGCCGCGCGCTTTATACTCAAAACGCCGCGTATTAATAAATAAAATAAGAATGTATATTTTACGTAAAGAAGGTATAAAAACGAAAAAGAGAGATGCAAAATCCGATTTGGCAAGTTCCCAAGGCTAAAACGATATGATACACTGATGTCGGTGGTACATATATATATATATATATATATATATATATATATATATATATATATATATATATATATATATATATATATACAGCGTGCATATATATGGATGCGTAATGAGATGTAATGGAATCGAATAAAGTGTTGCCGCTCGCGCGTCGTTCGTCGCCAGTCGCATAATAAATCGCCAGCAGAGTGCGAGAACGAAAAATTATGCGGCGCGGCAAGCAAGAGACGCCAAAATTACAGTGATTACAAGACTTTATCCTCGCTCTTTACACTTGAAATATATACATACATACACACTGTGGGGAAGGGGGTTGCTCTGCTCTCTTAGCAAGGTATAAACGAGCGATTTGCTTGGACCGATTGGCTTTAAGGACTTCATACTGTGGGATACGTCCCCGAGGCGATTCAAAAATCGCTCTGCTACCCTGCCTCACGTCTGCCTGGCTGTGTGTGCGCGTGTGCGTGTGCGTGTGCGCGCGCACGTGTATGTATACGAGCGCCGAGAAAGGAATTCCGAGAGATCGTTACTAATTTTACGACTGTCATTCGCCTACATAAGGATGCTTTGTAATTCGCGCTGCTGTGCTATACATCAATTATTATGCTGTAGTATTACTGACCGAGCAGAGACCATATCAATTATATTACATTATCTTGTCCTCGAGGTCAATGTAGTTACCAGATCGAGTCAGCAATTTGTAGAGAACCAACATCGAATAATTACTTTTTTATTTTATATTTTATAACTTTCCCTTTATAAAGGGAATGACGATATTGACACACAGAAATTTATGAAAACTTTGAGTGATGCTGCTCTTTTTGTCACAATTATATTTCTCTTTAAAAATATTCTCTCACTTTTTCCATTATAAACTTCACTGTCAAAGCAGTCGCTACCGATAGCAAGAATAATAATTTTCTTTTCGGCAAATCTTTTGCTAAAAATTTCAAGAACGTTACTTCATTGAAAAATCTAGGAAAGGTATCACAAGTAAAGGTCGTGGAAAAAAAAGAAGAAAAAATAATTCTGAACCATCAAAGAATTAGAGTGCAATTTCAAAAGATCAATATCAAGGTCGATATTTGAGTAATTTAAACTGGAAGTCCATCCCCAACAAAGAATCGAACTCAACTTTACAAGAAACGGAAATCAATTCCCAGGTGCTTTCAATAAATATAACTAAACCTGCGGGTCGAATAAAAAATATTTTCAACAATTGGAAAATATTACTATTATACCTCTGATTAAAAGCAACTTTCAATTAACTGACGAAAAATCAAACAACATTTTTAAGCTTATTAACAAATTTCAAAGTAAACAAATTACAAAATTCGCGTAATGTCTCAACTCTTTAGAATGTTATAAGCATTTTGTCCTGAAATAAAATATTGAATCTTAGTATTAGTATCCCGAAATAATATATTTCAATATTTCAATATTTTATATCGGGATACTATAACTAATTATATTCTCCATTGTATACAAAAAATTTTGAAATTTGTCAATTTCTTGTATTATAAAGAAATGGAGGTGATTATAATAGGGAATTCATCTTACCAAAGAACGATTTCGAAGATTTAATTTGGTGGAAAATAAGACATTTTACGAAATTAATCCTATTTAGCAACACAATTACGCCTTCAAAATTTTTACTGACGTCTCAAGAGGTTTGGGCGCTTGCTATGATTTTTCTAGCACACATCGTTGAAAAAATATAAAAATTGGGCATATATCAATTATTTAAAACTAAAAGTTATTTACTATTGTTTACGATGTTTTGCGGAGAATTATACACTACCCATCATAACTTTTACTATATTTACAAAAAAATTAGCTTAACTTCAAAGTTTTATATCATTATAACCAATTATCGTATACAAAATAAATTGGTTTACTATTCGATAGTAATAGCAACAGTTTTTATTTAAAGTGAACAGAAAATTGAAAAATAAAAAATTTTTATTTTTCCACTAAAAAAATTAACTAAAAAATTTTTATTTAAATTTTTTATTTCTATTTAACTCTATGTTAATTTGAAAGCAGTGTGGATAGAACAATTCCAACGAGAATCGAAACATATGTAGTATATGTTCTTATTCTTTAAAATGATACCAGATGGGTTCTGATGCAATATTTTTTATTGGAATTATGAACATTTTTGTACAAAAACCGTATTTTTTTAAATCTCTATGTATCTTCAATACTAAGATATTTTAGAAAACATGTTAGAAAGAAAAAAGTTGCCTTTTTGACTGAAAAATATGAAAATAAAATAAAAATAAATAAATTGAAAATAATTTCGGTTTTTAGCACTTGAAAAAAAGTTGTAAGCTATTCCTTTTTTCTTAATTGTAGAATAACTGCAAAAATATGTTTAAAAAAATTAACGATGATCAATGATTTAAAGATTTGATAATATCAAAATTTCGCTAAATGTTTTAATAATGATATTTATGAGCACTCGAATCAAAACATCAGGAAAAAATCCAATATATCTCATTTTAGAAATACCTCAATTTTGTGAAAAAATAGCTATATGCATTAACGACCTTGAAACATTATTTATAATGTACAGAAACATTAGGCGATAATGATATTTTTCTCTTTATGTTGTCAAAAACCTACAGAACAATATTGGTCCTGAGAAAATTAGTCGTTGATTAAAAAATGCTTTATTTGAAAGTCAAATTAATACTTCGTATATCAGTGGCCATATAGTACTTGCCGTGTGATAAGTTGGAGAGCTTTTAAAAAAGGCATAAATCGTAGAAGAGCTGGTTGAAAAATCAAACGTGTTTACCAAACATTATAATCATGCATTGCTTGAAGTGTTATTAAAGAATTATTTGTTGACTGTTATTTAACAAAATTACAATTTATACTCCTGAGCACATTGACTTCAAAGACGCAATAATGTAATCTAATCAAACGAACTTTTCTGTACACAAAGTTCGATTGTAATTATATAAATTACCTCGTCTAACGAATTAAAATCCTACCTATCTTATATAATTTTTTAGAAAATTCACTGTTCCAAGGAATACGATTTTCCACTGGCACTGAACTTTATAAAAAGGTTAAGAAATATGTGTCAAAAGAGTAATTATTCGATTTTAATGCTCTAAAACTCGATCTGGCAACTGGCAGTACAACTACATTGATCTGGAGAACGAGATAATTTATACAATTACAATCGAACTTCACATGCAGGCAAGTTCGTTTGATTTATTAATTTGAGCTCAATTCTGATGCAGATACTATTTTTAAAATAATAATTAGTATTCAAATATGCTGCATCTCGGTATCAAATCTCTTTCCTATTTGCAGCCGTAGTTTTGATTACATAATGGAGGATAAAACTCTGTAAACGTTGACTAAGTAATAAAGCCAATTATTCGCCGAATTAGCTTCCGACCGATTCATAAACAATTAGCCATATCATGTGTAAACAATTCATCGGAATAGCTATCATCAGCCTAAATTTGTTTGCTTCTGAGAAAACGAGTAATCGATGGACGCCAAAGTGCCTCGCTAATTGATTGGAGTATCTGCATGCGGCCACATATGCGCGCGCGAGAACCGATCTATAATACATAAAGGCAAAGTGTCTATCTACCGCGCGATGCCGAGTGCGCGAGTTCAGTTTGTAAGGTATATCTTGCGGCCCATTCATCTCGCGGCGAACTTGTCCCCCCTCGCTCGCACGTTTTAACGCACCTGTATCGCGATAACGTGTATAAAAGCGAATAAGGGCATTGAATCAGCGCCGATTCCCGGGCGCACGCGAGACTTTGGTGCGCAGTGGGATAGACGCCGCTGCGGTGTTTTTGCTTGTCTCTTTGCCTTTCGAATGTGCTTGGCCGACAAGAGAAACCCTCGATGTGTACACGTGTAAGGTGTATTTTGCCGAAAATGAATTGAAGGATCTCTTCGTTTTATCTTTGTCCCAAAGTCTTTTTGGCGTATGGTTTATGATATTTCTGATGAGGTTTTTAAATTGATTCAATACTAGTAACGAAATTTGCAAATCGTTAGACATTCTGATCTTTCGAAGACCATCCACTATCTTGCGATTGATGAAACGTTAATCCACGTGGCGTTGTCCCTCGAGATCAAAT